AGTCTAAGGGGGTACTGTGTTGAGGAAATATAATGTAAGGGGGCTCACTGATGAGGACATATAATGTAAGGGGGCACTCTGATGAGGACATATAATGTAAGGGGGCACACTGATGAGGACATATAATGTAAGGGGGCACACTGATGAGGACATATAATGTAAGGGGGCACTCTGATGGGGGCAACGAATGTAAGGAGGCACTCTGATGGGGGCAACGAATGTAAGGGGGCACTCTGATGGGGACACCTAATGTAAGGGGGCACTCTGATGGGGACACCTAATGTAAGGGGGCACTCTGATAGGGACACCTTATATAAGGGGGCACTCTGATGGGGACATGTAATGTAAGGGGGCACTCTGATGGGGACACCTAATGTAAGGGGGCACTTTGATGGGGACAACTAATGGTTAGTTGTACCCATCAGATTGCCCCTTTACAGTATTTGTCAGCAGGAGGAACCACTGAGTTAATGGGGATACCTGGAAGTGTCTGTTCCTGGAGAAGACTTCAGCAGATGTATTCTCTACAACAGATGAGCGTTTGATGGTGTGAGGGTCAGTGTGAGGGTCAGTATTTACTTTTACAGGCATGTTTTCTGACTACTTTCAGTTTGGTGACAGGGTCTCTTTAAGGGCTTGTTCACACTGCGGCTGTTAGTCATGCGGTTGTCCTCCCTGCCAAGAACAAGGCATTTCAATCTGTGAGGTGAACAGCTCGCTTCATACCTTGGCAGCTGCAGAGTTTTGGCACGGCAGAAGTACTTCACAGCTCAGAGGATTTCCATTGATTTCTATGTCCCCTGTTCACATCTGAGTGTCCTGTCGCCTTTACCAAAATCCCTATTGCCGAAAGAAATACATGAGTTACTGTTCTGCAGATTTTGGCATTTTGGGCCTCAATGGGAACTCCTAGGGTTGCCACCTTTTCTTCAAGCGAAACTCGAACAGTCGAGCGATGTGCAGAAATTTTTTGGGTGGCTTATTCATATGTAAATAGCGCTGTCCATTCATATGTAAATAGCGCTGTCCATTCATATGTAAATAGCGCTGTCCATTCATATGTAAATATTACAGTTGAGCCTATTTTCAGTGGGGGGCCAGTAGCCCCTATCTTAATTTTGGTTGCCCCTGTCTGCCTGACATCTTGTGTCCGGGTTTCTGCCGCCATGAATCCCGGGCACAGCATTCAAAACCCGGACCGTCCGGGTGAATCCTGGACAGATGGCAACCCTAGGAACTCCAGTAAACGCATGACACAAGAGTTTATGTGTTTTGTATAACGTTTGGTTGCACGTTTATTGCGCAAAAGCAAGTCTAGCTCTTTGCAAAAAAACCCCCACTAGGGAACAAAATGGAGGAGAGCACAAAGCTGGAAACGCGTGACAATGCTCAGTGTGCCTGTCCTGCTATGCGTACTCGCTGGAAGTGAAAGGTTAACCCTTGAGCAGCTGACAGGCCTTGTAAACAGTCATACAATCCCGGCATCATATGCAGAGATGGTGTTACAAGAAGTGTCAGGTTATTTTTAGGCCATTTTCTTCTAAGAGGCGACAGTCTCAGAGGAAATAATATGTCGTTTCTATCTGAACTTTGGGCAGACATGAACAAAACATCAAATGAGTGGAGTTATCATCAATATATTCAAATGTCATTTAAATGCCACTCATGTGAATACCTGAATTTGACTTGTTATCAGCCTCTTGTAATCATTGCAGGATGTTGCTTTAGGCCTTGTTCACACCAAAAGCATGTGCGTTCCAGAGCGGTAGCTGCTGGAAAGCACCGCGATCGCTAAGAAACTTCTCCCCGCGTTTTGGGGTGGGAGGGGGCGCGGCGGTGCATTGAATTCAATGGCACCGCTTCCACGCCCGCAGTGCGATCAGACGCGTGGCAAGACTTTGCCATCTTTCCGTTCCACTGCAAACGCAAAAAACAGGGCTTGCTCTATTTTTTGCGTTTGCAGTGGAACGCTACGCTGGCAAAGTTTTGCCACGCGCCCGATCGCATTGCGGGCGTGGAAGCGGTCTTTATATAAATGTTATTTTAAACTTATTTGTAGTATTTGTAGAGCTGCAACAACTAATCGACTAAGTCAATTAAAATCGATGATGGAAAACGTTGTCCATCATTGATTAGTTGGCTTTCGATTAGTTACCCCTGTTCCCTTAGACTTCAGGAATGGCCAGTAGAAGCAATGAATTCTGTGCCTGACTTCCATTTGTAAGTTTAGAAACTCAGCATCGTCTTCGAACACTTGACACGCCTTGTGAGAGCTCACCTCTGACTCCCGGCATTCCACGCCGATGGTAATAAACGATAATATTGTCATCACAGCTCTCTCAGTGCTCGAAGATACTTCTCTGGGGCATGTTATGTATGTATACAACGCGACGCGCTACTTCACTGAACTGGGCCTTAGATCAGAGGCGTAACTAGAAACCTCAGGGCCTCGGTGCAAGAAACTATTAAGGATGAGTTACTGTTCTGCAGATTTTGGCATTTTGGGCCTCAATGGGAACTCCTAGGGTTGCCACCTTTTCTTCAAGCGAAACTCGAACAGTCGAGCGATGTGCAGAAATTTTTTGGGTGGCTTATTCATATGTAAATAGCGCTGTCCATTCATATGTAAATAGCGCTGTCCATTCATATGTAAATAGCGCTGTCCATTCATATGTAAATATTACAGTTGAGCCTATTTTCAGTGGGGGGCCAGTAGCCCCTATCTTAATTTTGGTTGCCCCTGTCTGCCTGACATCTTGTGTCCGGGTTTCTGCCGCCATGAATCCCGGGCACAGCATTCAAAACCCGGACCGTCCGGGTGAATCCTGGACAGATGGCAACCCTAGGAACTCCAGTAAACGCATGACACAAGAGTTTATGTGTTTTGT